AGAGAGAGAGAGAGAGAGAGAGAGAGAGAGAGAGAGATCCCATTGTATTCCTGAAAATGTCCCCAGTCCGTGAGTCAGAGCAAACCAACGACATTTTGTGGATTTGAAGGAAGTTTTGTGGGGGAAAAAGAATGACTATCTCTTCATGTATATGTATTTGCACTTGAGGTCGCCATTGATTTTATACTTGTATGCGTGAATGTGTGCGTGAGTACCAACATTGCTATTCTGTTATGTTTTGCTTAGTTTTTGGTTGTTCATTTCCTTTTTTTTTTTATTAGATGTGTATTTATTTACGACCTGCTTGCCTGTGTGTGTGTGTGTGTGTGTGTGTGTGTGTGTGTGTGTGTGTGTGTGTGTGTGTGTGTGTGTGTGTGTGTGTGTGTGTGTGTGTCTTTCTCTCGTTCTCAGGCTCTCTCCCACATCAAAAAAGAAAAAAAATGACGGGTAACAAAACAAAAGGAAAAACCTCACACCCCTAGTCTTTTTTTTTCAGAATTATTATTCTCATTCTTCAGTGCCATCTTGATTGTTAGCTACGCAGTTATAAAACTAGGTTAATATGTTTTATTGATCTTCTTGTTCGCTTGTTTTGTTTCTTTGCTTGTTTTTTCGGGGAAATAGTTATTTGATGTTAAGATATTATCATATAAGTCAAACAAAAATGTATATCAGGGCCTGTACAACAACAAAAACGTAATTCGTCTACTAATTTCCCAGTGTCGATTGGGAAATAGATGTTTAACAGTCTTCAATTGACTTTTCAGATGGGCCTAGCCTATGGTGACAACTGCAGTCTTCGTATCACACCCTGAGAATTTTTTTCTAAATACAAAATATGAATAGAGGAAGTAACTGTATGGGTTTAACGCCCTTATCAATACTATAAGGACCTGCGATTTAACGTCAGTGTCCGATAGGACCGAGCCAAAAGGGTTGAGAGCCCTGAAAACTCCGCAAAACGACCCCTGTTCAAGGACATCCAGTCTGGGATTTGAACCAGGGCCATCCACTCATTAGTCCAAAATGATACCAACTAAGCTAACGGATGGCCCACAAAAAAAGAAATATATTGGAAAGGGGGTGGGGGACGGTAGACAATTATTGGTTGAAGGATTAGCAATCTGTCCCTTTTTTTTTCTTTTTTTTAACACTGTAGAATCTAGTCTCCAATGCTGGCTCGTGGTTTTGGTTTGTTTGTTTTTTGTTTTGTTTTTGTTTTTTGTTTTATTATACGTTTCATCAAACGTCTGTACCAACAAAGTAAAGCAGAGTGTATCACTCGTTTCGTTTGTTTGTTTGTTGTTGTTTTTTTCTTCTTTTTTTTTCTTTTATCACCCTTGGTACAGTTCAAATAACCATCAATTTCTAACTACATATTGTGAACTGTTACATGTACATTTGTACGTGTATACAAAATGTATCACATTAAATGACTTTAAAAGATGAAACACATTTGTTTATCACCAGTTTATGAAAAATTTCATATGTTTTGTTTTGACCCTCTTAGCTCTTGTTTCTTTTGTTTGTTTGTTATTTGTTTGTTTTCTCGAGCGTCATAATATACGTTTTCATCAAACGTCTGCACTAACAAAGTAATAAATTGATAAAACAGGAACTATATTTATTATGCCCTTGTTATTCATTGTTTTTGCTTACTTGATATTGAGGAGGAGGAGGAGGCGGAGAAGGAGGAGGAGAAAGGGGAGGAGAAGGAGGAGGAGAAGGAATAAACAAATTGGGGGAGCAAAGAAAGAGTGTAAGGACGGAGGATTGGGTGAGGATGTGAAAGAAGAGAAGGATGAGAAGGGAGGGGGAGAGGGACAGCAACGTAGAAGAAGTGGAGAAGAAAGAGACAGACAGACAGACAGACAGACAGACAGACAGACAGACAGACAGACAGACAGACAGACAGAGACAGACAGACAGACAGACTCTTTTGCTCCATACGAGATAGGGAGAGACATTGGAGAGAGAGAGGGGGGGAGAGAGAGAGAGAGAGACAGACAGACAGACAGACAGACAGACAGACAGACAGACAGACAGACACAC